ATTATAATAATGAAAAGTATTTATGATCCCGGTCTAACTGTATATTAACTTTATATTAAACACAGATACCAATTATACATATATGTAGCTTATTCGTATTGGAAACATCTTAATAAGTGAAATTATTATTCATTTCTTTCTTTTACCTTTAACTGTTTTGTGTTTTGTTGACTATAATACATCAAATCCTCTTAGGTAAAAACCATCGCTGTGTCTTGTTGTTTGGATACAGACAAAATAAATCTATAGGTTTGATTTTGCTAGGTCTGTCGTCTGTCTACACATAGATATAAGCATCACTTTCTATTAATAAAGTAAATACGGCATTTACCTATTTCTGTTTGATGATAAGCAAAATAGATATCAAAACATCGTTTATTTATAATAATTTTGAATACACATATTTCTCCCGTGAAAAGGAAAAACCTAGTAACTGATTTTTGATGATTTTTCAGGAAACGGAAAAAAAGGAAAAATGTTCACCATTCTGTAAGGTCATTAAATAATTTTTGTTTTTTTTTTCGGATGGGACAGGATTTAAAGGTACCTAAGCCCTTATTACTGTGTTTTCTTTTTAACTTGACTTTTGTTAGTTTTATGTTACCTACTATTTTTTTATTACAAATAAGTATTCATTTTACTGTGGAAAAAGCTATTATCCTTGCTTATTAAATAAATATACAAGATTTTTGCCAAGGAAAAAGCTAGTATTGGCCATTGCTATAAAATTTGTTTCGACTTTTGGATTATATAACTAGGTAAAACATAGCAAATTACAATTTGTTTTTTAAATAAAGAGTAGACAGATTTGTAGTGGTTGGAAAATGTAATTTTAAAAAGTAAATATATAAGTAAGAAAATATTAAGAAAATACATAAAACATTAAAAGTTAAATTCGATTATTTAACCCATTACAGGCCAAGACAAGTAAAACAAGATATATTTATATTTTTTTTATTAAAGTGTATTTAAAATGCATAAATTAAGACTTATTTCCAAAAAAAAAAATTCTAAACATATTTGTTGGAGAAAAAATTGTGGGTGCGTGTACGCACATTGGCCAAAAACAGTTAATAATATTACAAAGAAAATTAATTTTTTTAAGTGGAAATTTTCAAAGCAGTCTGGGTGCAAATGCACTTTACACTTTTTACACAGATAAATACTGTTACTTTTGCAAAATCGACACTTTTTCCTTGCACTATTAACCTCCCCAATTATGATATGTCCGATGTTGTGAAATCTCATATCAGCTGGAAGAGCAGATTTAGAGGGTCTTCCATTGTTTGAATTTGATACTGTAGTATTTGAAGTAACATCTATATCCTTTCCGTCATGCTTTAGCAAGGAGAGTGCTAAGTTCGAGCGAAATTCTACTTATGACATTTTAAATTCATTCGCTATATTATAGATTTTTCAACTGCTTACCACCATGCTGCCTATCAGATTAGTAAACAAAGGCCACCACCATTTTTGCCTGTTATTCCGAGGCGATAGTTGGAGATACCGTTATCATCGAAGTCTACCCCACCCATATATTTATTATATTGCTGGAATACATTTGGCTGAGGAATAAGTACTTCCTTGCGCTCCTTCCGGTTATAGCGTTTTGTCTGCATGAGTGGTAAAACATTACATGCATTTGTCATTACAGTGACTACAGAATTGTCATTCCATCTTGTTACCAGATCTCCCCTATTGCCTTTTTTGCCATGGCTTTTTCATCTTCAACTGGGCATTTAGTGGTTCGATTATCTCTCACTGTTCCGGTTGCAAAAAAGCTATTTTTTTTCAAACTTTCAAAAAGGACGTGAAAAAGTTATTGAAAAATATTTTATGCTGTTGTGGATTTTCTACCACAGACAATAGTTCTACAACAACTCTTGTTCCTAATGGTTATACCGTTATACCGTTTTTGGCCGAGGTGCGTATATGCATCCATTACAAATATATGTCACTATGACAGTCGATTTGTAAATATAAGAAAAAACAAATTACAGGACTATCAAAATAAATGTTTTTTTACTTATGTGATGCAGAAAAAAAAATAGTTTGCTAATATTTGCTAGCTAAGAAAATAGTTGTTTGAAACTAGGTAAAAAAGTTTAGAATAGCACATTTTCAAGAAAATATTTTAAATAAAAGAGTTTTCGCGCCTAAAGCAGCTTTAAATTTGAAAAAGCTAGCAAAGAGTCTTAGAATTGAGTGAGTCAGCTAAAAGACGATGTAATAAAAGTGGAAATACCTAGTAAATTACTTTGCTAGCTCTCTGTTACGAAACATTGTATTTTTATTTTAGGGTGTAAAAATAGCAAAATATGATAAAAGGAACTTCCAATTTAAAAAAAAATAAATTTATATAAATCAATTACAGGAAAGACCTAGTACAAAACTTTATAAAGTTTTTCCTACAAAAGTTAACAAAAATGTACTAACAAAAAAAAAGTTGCTCGATTTTATCCATAAAAATACCGGGTTGCTAGGTTTTTCCAACGAAAAATATTGAAATTTGCGTTTTACTAGGTTTTTCCATGTAAAATAAATCCGTGAAATAAGCAAATTTTGAAAAAATTTGAATACCTATCGAAAGAGGACATCAATGGCTATTACAAAATCGATGCTAAGCATAAACCTAGTAAGTCACTTTACTAGGTTTTTTTTTCACAGGAGATTTGAAAAACTGGTCATAGGATTACAGTAAAATTTGGCTCAGTTATAAACTGAAGTTTTGTTAATGTCGGAGAAAGCAGAAAAAGCAGAACAAAATATTTTGCCCCAAAAATCTATGGTAATACCAATACCCGAGGTAATACCATTAATTACAATTTTGTCGATGGTAAGTCTTCTATATCGCTGTTATCAGACATTTTTACAATATAATTATCGAAGTTTAGCTATCTACGAAAATTCAATACGTATTAATTTTGAAATTTTTGAATTTGCCTATTATGGTATATTAACTATTTCTTTAAAACTTCATGAAAAATACTTTTGGGAACTGCTATATTGTGGTCTATACTTTTTTTACTTACTGTCGGATAATATTCGATCATATTTAATATTTGTTCCTCAACTTCTAAAGTTCTTGTCGAACGCATTCGCCCTCAATACATTCCTTGATTCAAATCTACCATTTTCACGAAGTTGTCTCTTAATATGAGTTTTTGCAAATGTTTGGTGATTTGGGACTTGCGATTTGGAAACTGCTTTTTATGAACTTAAACACTTTAGCGATGATTTCCGTTACAAAATCCCTATATCAAAAGCATATTAACTTGTTTATTGTAAGTGTAAGTTTGATTCATGGTAACGGAAATAGTAGTATATTTAAATCGATATCTGACACTTATACATAAACAGGTGTTTATGACAATACACTTTTTGCTATAAATATGTATACACGAGAAGATATCAAAAAATGTCGGTGCTTTCAATACCTAAATATTCATAAAACCAACGTTTTGTATGTCTTATATTAAAATTAATATTACCCATTTATATCATTGTGAATTATACGATTAAACAAAAAAGCAGACTCTATTAATTATCAAAAAATAAGAAAAACTTACCTTGACTTGCTAAGCTATTCCTTTGTTTAAAATTCGTCCACCAACATAAAAAGGATGAAAGGGTTTGGGTAAAATTGAGATAAAATAAGGAATGCGGTGCGATTATTAATATTAAACAAAAATGGTGATAAATTAGCAACAAAACGGTAATGGTACTCACAACATGTATCGCGTTATATCTTAATACCGGTACTGCCGATTCGGCTTCGAATGTCATACGTATATTTTATCTATTCGCAAAATAGTTATTTATGCAACAAGTGCAAAAAGTAAGTGTTTATTGCACGCGACGTGAAATTGTCACGTCGAGTGCAATAAACACTTTTTGCACGAGTTGCATACAATATTTTTTCTACGTTCATGCAAAAACCAAAAAATGTTTTATAGAACTGCAGTTGTATTATCCAAATCATAGTAGCCGTGATCGTGTACCTTTATTTGAGGCATTTATTTACGTTTGTGTTCATAATTTGTAATGACATTTTTAATAAAATACACTTTTTTATTAATTTATTTATTAAATGATTGAAAATAATATAAAATATGCAATTGTTTTTAAAACGTAACACAGAAAATGAAAATGGTCTAAATATTTGACGTTGATTTGAATATTTATGTTTATCATGATCATAAAACGCTTTAGTAAAATAACAGATGAGTGCATTAAAATTTTTATTGCACTAGTGCAATAAAGAACCACTTTTTTCACTAAATATAGTTCAATAAAGATTTGTTTTTTGCATGAACGTAGAAAAAAGTAATTTAAACATAAATATTGGCCTAAAGGATAGGCAACTATAAATACATTAAAATATTAATTTAAATAATGCGTAAACACCATCTTTCATAGTACTAGGTAGGGATATGAAATGTTCAATGTAGATGCAGTACAAATCTTTTTCACACTTGTCAAAGACAAAAGATTGAGTGCATCTCGTTGACGACCTGGTTGCCAATGATTCGATTATTCATAATAAATTTTTGAGACCCAACATTTAAATTTTTATATACATCTGTTTTTTAACCCAAATATATTTTATATATAAATCATAAAATTTTATTATAATGGAAGAATATTAAATAGAAAGGATGGGATCTACACATTAAAAGATCCCACAATGGAGACCTCAACGAGATGTGCATGATGTCATAATAGTGACTAAATCACTAGCAGTTTTAGAAGAATTTAGTGGTCGAACGTCATGGATCATCAAATTCAATTCCATTTTTTTAAAGGGAAAGTCATGGCGATATCGAAAAGAGTAAGTCCTTAGAGAAAAAACATAATTTCCTATTTTAATGTTAGAAATATCAAAAGAGGAAAAATGTCAGTTACCCTGTGCCTAATAATACTCAATAGAAAAACTGTTAGTACTGTTAATTTGCCATAAAACACCTAGTAATTGTACCAACTTTAATCTTTTAAAGTGGCTCAATTCTGTAGATTGAATAAAAAATAGATATTTTTATTATAATTTGTCAAACAAAGTAAGTTTGGTTAAATGAACTTATTTTAACTCCATAAATCTGTGGTAGCTCCATGTACCTGCAATTTTCGGACACACTTTATACATTTATTTATTGTAAATAAAAAAATTATTATTTGTTTTAGTTTTTATTATTTTTTAAAATAAACTAACGTAAATTATCACTATTTAGTTCCGTGCAAAAGGTGAATGACTATTAGTGGTCAAGTAGTAGCTACCGTTTGCCCTGAAAAAAAAAAAAAAAAATAACAAAATTACAAAATAATGCACAAGAAAATAAAATGATAATAGTTTAACATAAAGATAAAAATAAAAATGCATCCAGGTAGATTTATATCAAAATCAAAGAAAAGTTTCAAAAGTAAATCCTATAAAAAAAATGCCTAGGCTTTTCACATATGATGCGTAACCAAACACTGAAAGTCATGCAGACACGAGAAAAGTGTTTATTACAAGTAATGAATAATATTCGATTTGTAGGCGCGATTACAAAATCTATTTTTACATGTATAAATAACGGTACTTATTATTATATTACAGCCTCTATTACAGCCAAGCGTCAAGATAAATTAGCGAGTTGCGAAGCACACCAAGGTAAGATAAAAATGCGAGACTAGAATGAGTTACCGCGAGGTATGTACCTATACAATTTTTCTTACAATCTACTATTAGCAATTTTATGTAAGTTTCAAATATTAATAATAATATTGGTATTAATTTCTATCATAATTTGAAAAAATATTTAAAAAAGATAGCTGTGAGACCGTTACTAGGCAACGACTATCAAGTTGGTTGAATCTGACAGTTTAATAATTATTTTAATTGTTAATAAATTTACAATATATTTGCAAATATGCCTGATAATTTATTTGAATGTATCTACTCCAACAGAACTGCGAATAGCTGAAAAAAAGATACTTACGGCAAGATTCTGGATAAAAAAGCAGGAAGAGAAACGAAAACAATTACGAAGCATATAGTAAGTGGCATTTGGAAGCCGGGAAAGTGACATATGCTAGCTGGGATAGTTACTTTCTCGGCTATATATAAGCAAGTAAGCAATAAGTTCCCTTCCCGACTGTTTCGAAGGGATTAAATTTACAGATTACTAACCGATTATGAGTAAAATACTTTGAGTAAGAAATAGCGTTTAATTTTAGTTATTAAAAACATTTCAATATCGTGTACATTTCTCGCTCAACGCATATATTTTTACTTTGGACTCTTTCTTAAATCATTAAAATATAAAAAATAACAGGAAAGCCGTTTTAACAGTTCAAGATCTATGAAGATATTTTTTCCTACGACCACTTAGGAAAGTGACACATATCACACTATATAGACCTATGGAAAGTGCCCTATATCACACGCGTATGAATAAGAATTTACTTTCCACCCAAGTGAGAATATGCTACTTTCCGCAGTAGCTGTCAGAAAATGTCAAACACATAATTTCTATTTTGATCTATGTAATGTCCATATTAATACTAAAATCGATATGATTGTTAAATTATTGTAAATTAGATCCTAGATATTTATCTTTAACAATTATTTTTAAAATAATTTTAAAATAACTAAGATATATTTGCTTTTTATTCTGGTTAAACACATAAGCGATTAGATCAATCAATTACCGTAAGGCCTGTTAGCTCAGTTGGTTAGAGCATCAACTTTGCAATTTGAGACCGTCCAACGACCGCGATCGAATCCTGGCTGTGCCAGAATTTTTTTTTTATTTTTTTTTTATTTTTTTTTTTTGTTTAGAAATTATGAAAATTTAATAAATACGATTATTGTTGATTATTTTTTTAAATACATTTTAATTATTATATTAATCTGGTTTTACATTTTTTGATGAAATTATTTTGTGGTCGTAGGAAAAATATTGTACATCACTTGTGTGAAAAGTGATTTTCCACACTCGTGTGATAGTCGCACTCGGCTTACGCCTCGTGCGACAATATTTCCCACTCGTGTGAAAAATGTCACTTTCCACACTCGTAATGTAATATACTATTACTACCCATCTCTAATCTTTATTACTAAACCGTAAACTTTCATTAGTTCTTTCATTTTTACTTTCCTATCTGTATACAGATATAAGGAAAGAATAGGAATCATGATTTTTTTCGACTTCGTGTTTTCGACGGATTTTTACGTTTTGAGGTCCCCTGAATCCATTTTGACTATTTTCGCGATGATGTCTGTCTGTGTGTGTGTGTGTGTGTGTGTGTGTGTGTGTGTGTGTGTGTGTGTGTGTGTGTGTGTGTGTGTGTGTGTGTGTGTGTGTATGTGTGTGTGTGTGTGTGTGTGTGTGTGTGTGTGTGTGTGTGTGTGTGTGTGTGTGTGTGTGTGTGTGTGTGTGTGTGTGTGTGTGTGTGTGTGTGTGTGTGTGTGTGTGTGTGTGTGTGTGTGTGTGTGTGTGTGTGTGTGTGTGTGTGTGTGTGTGTGTGTGTGTGTGTGTGTGTGTGTGTGTGTGTGTGTGTGTGTGTGTGTGTGTGTGTGTGTGTGTGTGTGTGTGTGTGTGTGTGTGTGTGTGTGTGTGTGTGTGTGTGTGTGTGTGTGTGTGTGTGTGTGTGTGTGTGTGTGTGTGTGTGTGTGTGTGTGTGTGTGTGTGTGTGTGTGTGTGTGTGTGTGTGTGTGTGTGTGTGTGTGTGTGTGTGTGTGTGTGTGTGTGTGTGTGTGTGTGTGTGTGTGTGTGTGTGTGTGTGTGTGTGTGTGTGTGTGTGTGTGTGTGTGTGTGTGTGTGTGTGTGTGTGTGTGTGTGTGTGTGTGTGTGTGTGTGTGTGTGTGTGTGTGTGTGTGTGTGTGTGTGTGTGTGTGTGTGTGTGTGTGTGTGTGTGTGTGTGTGTGTGTGTGTGTGTGTGTGTGTGTGTGTGTGTGTGTGTGTGTGTGTGTGTGTGTGTGTGTGTGTCTGTAGGTCGCATAACTCATGAACCGATACACAGAAAAACACCAAATTTTAAACTTAAGCTTTATTTCAGCGTTTAATGAACTGATTAGATTTTGGGCAGAGTCGGAACATCTGGGGGGGTACTTTATTGGTGGTCATTTTTATATTTTATGGAATATATCTGTTATTTACGTTTGGAGAAGAAAATTCTTTAAATAAAAGTTACTTCCTATATAATTATCTATAATTTTTGTTTTATACAAAATTTTCCTAAAATGGAAATTTGACAAAATGTAAAAAAAAAATATTTTTTTATAAAAATTGTTCGAATTAAAGTTGTTTGTAATATAATTCTCTATAATTTTTATTCCATACATAATTTCTCTAAAATGGACCGTATTCGAGATATTCGAGAAAATGTGTAAATTTCGAATTTTGAAGAAAACTCAAAAACGGATAAAGAAAAAAACATTAAACTTTAAACCTAAGGTTTATTTCGGCCTGACGTGAAATGATTAAATTCTGGACAAAGTCGGAACATCTAGGGGGGTACTTTATGGGAGGCCGTTTTTATATTTTATGGAATATATCTGTTATTTATGTTCGGAGAAGAAAATTGTTCAAATAAAAGTTACTTCTAATATTATTATCTATAATTTTTGTTTCATGTCAAAATTTCCTGAAATGGTTCGTATCTGAGAAATTTGACAAAATGTGCAAAATTCTGATTTTTATGAAAATTGTTGAACTAAAAGTTGTTTGCGATATCGATCTCTATTATTTTTGTTTATACATGATTTTTCTAAAATGAACCGTAATGGAAAAGTAATAAATTTAAATTTTTCAGTATTTTCGTTTTCAATGAATATCTATAGAAAATTGTTTCGAGGTAGATGTATGTGGACAATGTTTATATTTAGTTTATCCTCTAAACATTTATAGAGTTGCTGCAATAGGTTGTACAAAATAACCGGAAAAAGCCTATAATAACTAGATAGGAAAGTCATGTGTTGGACACATCAGATTTTTTTATTCGGAGACACAGAGATAACCTTAACTGTAGACAGTTATTCTAAATAATAGTTCGTAGCTTTTTACTTTTTAAATTCCTATGAATCTAAAAATGTACGTTGTTTTTGAAAAATGTATTACTATATATTTTTCAATGTCTGGAAAATATAAATATACCTAATGAAGATATTAGTGAGTGTATAACAATAAGAGTATTTTTCTAAATTTTACATCTCTGGCTTTGACTGGAAATTATAGCATTTGTGCACTAAAGAAGGCAAATATTACAAAAACTGAAAGAATAAAGAAGCTTCTTTAACTAGTACATCCGAAAGAAAAATATATCGTATTTTTAAAGATGGTTATCGAAAGAAATCAAAATTAAAAAAAACTGGAGCCATCTATGGTGAAAATGGTTGGGAAATAATCGGAATTTGTGTAAGCATAGCCACTTTTGTTTAATTTTTTTTTCGTCAATTATTTTATTATATACGACGACTGTTTGTAAAACGCGTGTATAAAGAATATATTACGTATATATTACCATTTCATAAAATGACTATGCATATATTTAAAATTTATTTACAAAGTACTTATACTATAATCCCTTCAAAGTTTACTAGATAATGTTTCTACTAACAGCTAATGACAAAGCACGGTTTTGGTGATTTGCAAAATAGTTCTTTTTTATACACTTCATCATGCTTTTACTAGCTGTTTTCTTTGAAAACAATTTTTAAAAGATAAACTGTTATTTCCCAAAAATATCTTGCTTCAAAGGCCAAACACAATCAATTTAAACAATACAAAAATTACTTACTTTTCATCTGGGTAGTATTGGCCCATCATTGAAGTATCATCTGAACTGCATTCTCCACTTTTAAAACTGTGGTAGTTGTCACATCTGTGGGAGAAAAATCCACCAGATACTATAGATTCTGCAAAATATTTGTAAGATCTTCCATGAGAGCAATGACCTGAAAAGGAAAAGAAATTTAAGGCAACTCTATTGTCGACTCGGACATTTTACAATACAAAAAAAGATAAGAAAAAAGTAGGTATTAGCAAATGAGCGCATTTTAAAGGTACTAATTGTCAATCAGACCAATCTGATAGTTTATGATAAAAAAAGAGTGAATTTCATAATAATTATACTACCGTCTGTACCTAATTTCAATCAATAGGCACAATTAAATGTATTTATTATTTGATTTTAAGTGATTGCATTATTGACAATTTAGTACTTAACGGTTATCCTTAAACTAACAAAACGGGTATAAGCCTCTTTAATAGTGGTAACAGTGACGCAATAGTCAATTTTATTTAGATTTGGGGTAATTTTGGAGATGAGCTAAATAAACAAACATTATAATTTGGCATTTAATATATATTCAAAAGTCCGCCTCTTGTTAAGTGTCAAAAAAGTTATTCTTCATAGTTATGCATTGTAAACATGATAGACTCTTTTATATTATAATTAGATTACCTTTGCTTGATTATCATTTTTAGTTTATAAATAGGAGTAAAACCTTATTATCGTTATTATTTAAGGAAGCTTTAGTGTAGGCTTTAGTCCAGAGTTGTCTTAAATATCTATTTAAGTGTATTTGTTTAATAACGTTTTTAAGATAAAAGTTCTGTTTTGGAATTTACAACTGGCGCAGTCAGTAGGATACACGCGAGTCGTGAAAAAGTTAATTCGAGTTTGATGTTGCCGAATATTAACTTGTCGTGACTTCGGAGTTTTAATTCCTTAAGTGTGATTCCTAACGAAGAATTGGTGGACGGTATCCCTTTTGTGGCTACAGTGTAACCTTTAGAAGAATCGTTGATTAGACATTATCCAATGGTAGGACATCCGAAACGACAATTATAAAAAAAAATTAAAGAAAATAGTAAGTGCCAAATATCCTTTAATTGCCCTCTCCTATAATTTAGAGATAATAAAAAGATTGTACTATTATATAATTTTTAAACTATTTTATATTTTGTTTTGAAAATATTTAATGAGTTATACTTTGTTTAAGCAATTTCAAAATATATCGTTAAAATATAATAAATTAGATAGTGTAGAAGTAATTTATTCATGATACCTCCAGTAGTTGAACGAAGACAAGTGAATTGGGACCTTTTTAATTCTAAAATAGATAACATAAAAACTTTTGATAGTGATTTAATTAATACTTACAGAACATATAATGACCCAGAATTGGATGAACATATAATAGAATGTATCCAAGAAAAATTTGTAGGAAAAGCTGAGATAACGGTATATAATAAAATTTTAAAGCTTTAACCCGAGAATGCTCGCACCCCGGTCTTTTTACCGCCAAGCATATATTTTCCTCCTCCCACATTTATTTGGGCCGTCATTGTCCGACGCGCTTTGGAGTCCTCCTTAGTCGAACCTGCGGGCCAGTCTACTTTTGGTTTTTGTCAGAGAGTATTGCTAAAAGCTGAAAATTGACAATTGGTCGTTTTAACCGACACGCGAGCATTTTAAGGTTTGTACCAAATTATTTATTGTTTACAAGGAAATTGAGGGTTCCAATCAAATAAATATGGCAAAATCAAATAGATAATAACAGATAACTTTTTAGATATACGTATTATTGTATGTATTTATTTTGTAGAATGTATTATGAAAAAGAAATCCAACGTTTACAAAGATTGTGTGAGGAAGTATCAACAGACGAAGAGATAGTTGGGGGTGATTCAGACTCTAAAGCAGATATTCTAGAAGAAAGCGACCATGATACGAACTCAGAACGGTCAGACCCTGATCAGAATGATGACAGTAGTGATGATGATTCATACGACGATGTGCCTTTGTCTCAGCGCCTTGATAATTATGTGGGAAAATCTGGGATGTTGTGGTGTAAATATCCTCTGATAAGCCGTGTTGCAGAAACAAAACCAGCTAATATTATAAAATTTCGTGAAGGTCCTACAAACAAATCTAAATTTGCTGTAACGCCACTATCCTCCTAGAAGTTATTTTTCCATGATGAAGTTATAGAAGAAATAGTGGTATGTACAAATATAAAAATTCAGTCCGTTCGTGCTAACTATACACAAGAAAGAGATGCCAGAGATACAGACGTCATTGAAGTAAGAGCATTTATGGAATTGTTGTATTTGGCCGGCGTTTCACGTGCTTCACACCTAAATCTTTCGGATTTATGGGCCACTGATGGTACAGGGATAGAACACTTCAAAAGTGTTATGACTTTGTCAAGGTTTCAGTTCATAATGCGCTGTATCCGGTTCGATAATATACATGACCGAGAAGCTCGAAAAACAACAGGCATTTGTTTGAAGGATTTGTAAAAAGATGTCAAGAAAATTACACTATTGGAGCAGATACTACAATAGACGAAATGCTGGAAAGTTTTCGAGGACGTTGCGGTTTCCGGCAATACATAAAAAGTAAGCCTGTCCGATATGGGATTAAATTTTTTTCTTTAGCCGACTCACGTTCCTATTATACTTATAATATGGAAATGTATGCTGGGAAACAGCTAGACGGTCCTTTTATGTTAAATAATAGTCCTACCAACGTTGTCAAGCGGCTTGTTGGCCCTATTATGGGATCAGGGCGCAATATAACCATGGACAATTGGTTCACTTCAATTGATCAGGCTCAAGACTAACTAAAGGAAAATTTAACAATTGTCGGGACTATCAGAAGAAATAAAAGAGAGCTTCCAAAAGAATTCGTCGATTCTAAAGAAAGGGAAGTGAAGAGTACAATTTTTGGATTTACAAATAACCTAACTCTGCTTTCCTATATACCCAAAAAAGGTAAGACGGTTGCATTGATATCGACGATGCATCATCAGGGTGAGGTTGAAGATGATGTGAATAGAAAACCAAAAATTATATTGTATTATAATAAAACCAAGGCTGGTGTAGATAAAGTCGACGAGATGAAAGGCAGTTATTTAGTTTCGCGAAAAACTGCTAGGTGGCCACTAACAATTTTCTTTTGTGAAATGAATATTGCCGGAATCAACAGCCAGGTCATTTATGAGTTCAACACCAAAGCAAATTTAAAGAGACGTGAATTTTTGAGGAGCCTTGCCAAGGAATTATGTTCTGAGCATATACATAGACGGTTGACAATGGATATACCATTGAATATTCGCACCTGTATTCACAACGTACTTAGAATTTCTGTGCCGCCAACCTCAAGAGCTGATAGTCCTGTGGATATTGTAGCTCAAAGAAAAATAGGAAAACCACCACAACCTGTCAAACTTGTTCAAGATATATTTGCAAGGAACACAGGGTAGACATATGTGTAAGATGCTTAGGAAATGAGGAATATTAGCAACTTTTTTTTAATTAAACATATCACTTTGTTTTTTCTTATTATAAGTTTGTCATTTGTATTTTTGATCAAAAACATACCTACCATATGTTTATAGTCAATAAAGTTTCAATAAAAAGTATATCAATAGTTGAATACCTTTAATAATCATAACAAATCCTAAAAATATTAAGAGTTTCCTAGTCGGTCAAAACGACCGATCGCGAGCATCAACGTAACTTTTTAGGCGCGAGCGTTCTCGGGTTAATAGAAATAGACCAAAATTTAAATGTTTTTTAAACTTTAAGAGAAAAGGAACAAAATTCAAAAACTATTAGGCACTACTCTGACAAAATTAAAACTATTTTTATTTAAATCAAGCTTTTGTTAAAATAAAAAAAATACCTACTTCTTTGAATGCTTTAATAAATTTCAAAATATACTCTTTGAATTTTTCAAAAACCAAATATATTTTACTTTGTAGTACAAATGAAATAGACTAAAATACATCTAAATTGTATTTTACTTTTCTAAGAAATCGTATTTGACTATAATTGATTCTTTTTCGCGATATTGTCAGGTTTATTGACACTACGGTAGCGTAGGTGTCTACGGCGCGGCATTCATTTGTCAGCCAATTTTCTGGTAAACGAGTCACGGTTTCAGATCCTACGGAAGACCATGTGAATTTATTAGCATGGTTCTTTATAGGATTTGATGGATGCCATATTAGCCGAAATTTAATTTCTGTTGATATGACATCCAGATTATGAAAATAAAATCACCATGCGTTACCGTTTTCGATGATGGTGGGTGAGGTTTTCCGGGTTTTCCTCACCTGTAAGTCAAATGGCACCATCAATCATTTTTAGGTTGCCCCGGAGCGCCACAGAAAATAATAATAATAATGGCTGTCCCTTTCCCTGCACAAGCTCAGCTTTTGGAGTTAAAATTCACTCGTAAGGGGGGAATTAGGGAGAGTTTTATTATCCCTTAGATAGTATAACAGAGATATCAGTCGTAGAATTTATTTCACATCACGGATTATCACAAAAAATAACTACCTACAGTGGAACAGAATTTAAAAATTTCGATATAGAAGATTTTTGTAAATTACACTATATCCATTACCGCAAAAAAAATAGTAACCCAAATTCCCCGGTGGAACCGTTTCATTCAAGTCTATTAGAACATTGCAGATTTTTACAAGAGAACAAACATTTCATACCAGGGGCCCTATTCTCGAATGTCTATTTCTAAATGTCACACGCGACATTGATGAAATGTCGAATAAGAACGCAAAAACGTATTCTGGAATGGCGAATTCGATATTTGTTGTTAGACATAAAGTCGAGTGGTATACAACCAGTCGACATTGTAATGTCACATGCCTTTTTAAATATGACGTTATAATATGAGTGTCGTGACAGTGACAGTTTATATTTATTTTTAAGAAAAATGAAAATAAGTATTGTACAAATTGTTTGTAAAAATATGAATGAAATGGTTATTTACAATTTCACCTAATTTATTAATTATTAGTCCTGTCCAGTGTCGGATTGGGCCGTTGGTCTACAGGCAAAATACCGGTAGGCCTTCGTTCAAGATGTGGGCCCTCTTTCAGGCAGTAGGCCCTCGTTTGAGCAGTGCGTCCTCGTTCGGGCA